GTTAAAAGTACTTTCATTTTAAAGGTGACAGTATCTCACCAGAACACTTACAATAACCCATGAATCTGAATTACATCTGAAAACTTGAACAGCATTCTTCAGAAGGACCACTCTTCTCCTTATTCTATCCTTCAAAAGTCTCATCATCTGACTTCCATCATTCAATAAATTCCCTTGAATTATTTCAGGAAAACAGCAAGGAGTTATGCCTGACCTGTAAATCGATGTAAGCAGAGCATAAATTCTTTGTGACTGATGTAACACAGTTATTTCTGAAGAATTCCACAGGACATATCAGCCAAGTACAGAATAAGAAAAAATAAGCAAATGATGCTTAAGAATAAGGACAGTAGTAAGTAATCTGAAACAGTTTTAATTTAATATTAAGCACTTCTGTTAACAATTAAAAAGATTCTGTTAACAATTAAAAATATTTCAAAGATGGACTGAATTCTAATTCAGTATCGCGTCCAAGATCTAATGATGTAAAAGCACATTTCCCTACTCCCTTCTGCTCAGATATCCTATTGATGTTTTAAAGATGACATTTAACAAATCCTTGAATTTTAATTGAGAAGCTCAGTGCAGAACTAAACAGGATCTTTTCACCTGTTAATCTAGATTCATATGCACCATCTTCCTTCATAACAACAGAGCATACTGAAGAGGATTATTTCACAAGCAACATATTAAGAAGTGTTCTATTTTGCTCAGGGAGCAGCTGAAAAGCACACAATCTTTCCTTCAATATCAAGCTGAAACCCTAGGAAGGAAAAATGTGATTTGCACTAAAATATCTGTCATTAATTAAGATATCAGAGTTGCTCAAGTTAGTAAATAACCCCAAAAATGTTTTAGTTTCACTGTTAAGTTATACTTAACAGCTCCAAGAATAAATACGGGTGGTTTTTTAAGTAACTGATTACTGTTAGAAACGAGGAGACATAAAATGGAAAGTTAACAGTGCAGCACCTTGCACCTTTGTGCAATTGCCTCAACTGACAGGGAAAGAAAGCTGCCAGCCTTCCTTCACATATGCTACTCACAAGAGAAGGTTTCCCAAAGTCATGACTTGGTCTCAAACAACGGAGAGAACATTGTAGTGAGGTGGCAGGAGACGGGACGAGAGGAAATGGCCTCAAGTTGTGGCAGAGGAGGTTTAGACTGGATATTAGGAAAAATTTCTTTACTGAAAGGGTTGTCAGGTATTGGAACAGGCTGCCCAGGGAAGTGGTTGAGTCACCACCCCTGGAGGTATTCAAAAAGCATGTAGAGAAGGCACTTCAGGACACGGTTTACTGGACATGGTTGATCGCTGGACTCAATGATCTTAAAGGTCTTTTCCAACCTAAATGATTCTATGATTCTGTGATTTCTGTGGCTTTAATTTCACAGCCTTAACACATCCATTCAGAGCCTTCTTGTTAAAATTACAAGTGTCATAGTCAAGGACATATTTTAAGAATACATATCCATCCTTGGTTACATCCTCAGCCTGATTTTTTAAATTGTCACTTTGCATCTTTTCCCAACTCTATCAACTTGTCAATTTTGCAGTTATACCAATCAAATAGAGGCTCTGAGGAAAGCTTTGTATGTATATATTCTCTGCCACAGCCCACTGGATGAATGTTTCTGCAGGTTTCCCCCCATCATCATTTTCTTTCCAAACATTCCTTACACTCCACACTCTGCTGAACAACCACATCCTAACGTCCTTTGATCACATATACAAAAACAATTAAAATGAGGGATGAAACCCCAGGGGGTTCAGAGAATAAACATAAACCTGGAAGTAATTTCTTAAGTGTCACAAGAGCATAGAAGTCTTTTTTGTAGTCTAGTTAGTTTCAGTGACTTTTACCACATTGATGGAGTGCCATTATGGCAGAAAAGGAATCACTGGTGTCACTATGACTACATGAAGACATTTGCCACGTGGTTTACACCAAAGGCCAAGAGTTCATTCTGATTTTAAGTTACTTCTCCCTTCTATTACCATATGCACTCAAAGCATACAAAAAACCAGATAACTTACCTGAAGTGTTCTCTAACCCATAGCATGCAGACACAGCCTAGTGAGAACACAAATTTAATACTGTGCCAGAAGCAGAAACATGACCACAAACACATTATTTGTGCACACATCTTTCATACGCCCAACATATACAACCAGGTTAATTATTTAAACTAGCTTTATATTTTTTTAACATAATACTTTAAAAAACTACCACTGCTCAATTTCATCTTTATATTTTAAAACAGACATGGAAACATTTTTAAACATCCATTGGACCCGTCTTTACAACCTCAAAGATAACAAAATGTTAACCTAGGAAAACACAGTGAAATTATTCAAAGTCTTTCCTAAATTGTCCAAGATGAAAAAATGCAATCTTAGTAAACAGTACTAGGGCCCATTCAATGAGATTATCCGAGACTCTTTCATTTTGTGTGTTTTCTCTATCTTTAAGTGTTCTTTAAATGCTGAGCAGTCTATAAGCACACAGGATCTGGTCTTCTACGACAAGGCAGAAGTATTTTTCCTACGTATAAAATTCTCAAAAGACAGAGATATCAAAACCACTGACTTAATATTTTCTTGTTAATAAAGCCTTCTATGACAACAGTTTATAACAGAAATCTAAAAAACACATCGCCATGGTTGACTGTCACCCACGCTGTTAAACATCCTAAGAATCATTGCCCTGACCCTATAGGGAGACCCTTGCCTGCTGTTAAATAGAAGGCAGCACTCTTCCTCCCCCAGGTCTTTGAAACTGCAAGGAGGGAATAGCACGCGTTTTCAGATAAGAAGCAAGACAGCATTACTGACAGTGCCACTTGCCTAAAGGGCTCTGACTACAACAAGTGACTCTGACCAGCCTTGTTAATTTAATTTTCTCTCTGACTAAGATAGAAAGATGATAAGCAGGAACTTAAAGCAAAGGAACCACTCCTCTGCTTTGGACAGCCTCACCACATAAAGCTGTATTTGAAAAGTTGTTTGCCACCATCAAGTTTTTAGATTTTTATCTGAAAATATTTAACTTCAGAGCATCCTTTCAGCTTCAGTTGCCAATGTTCACCAGGAAAACTTTACACTTACTTCCCTGGAGAAGGTCTTTCAAACCCTGAAACAAAATAAACTGATCAAGAAAGAGAAAAGTTGCTTTCAATGACATTAAAAGCTCTGGCAGAGTGGGATTTTTTTTGTTTATGTTTTTTGTTAGTTTGGTTGGGTTTTTTAAGGAAAACACTATACACTGAAATATTGCACATTTTAAAAAGTTACATCCAACTATTTAGTGCAATTTTCCAATCTAGAACTTTTTAAAAAAATAATACATTTTACAAGAAACTATAACTTCTTGTATGTTTAGAGATGCTTGAAAATATTGCTGACTTGGGTTGCAAGACAAACAAAATCACTTGCAATTATTATCATAAATCTGTGCTCACACTTGCACATCCCCTTAACTTCAATCCAGTGACTACCAGTGTCCACCTTTTTACCCTTCAACTTTCATCTTTTCTTCCTCATGCCCTAAACAGAACATCTCTCTCGTTAGAAAAAATAATCATTCAAATCTAGACAGTAACTGCAAACTGCTTTTTCATTCATTCGGACTGTACATTTTATTCTTGTCCTCTCGCATATTTCGTGTCCAGTTGAGCTCCTGTATTTTCAAAAGCAGAAACTGTGTTTTACTTTGTAAAGCTCCCAGCCTAAAAGGGCTGCAAAAATAGCGGGTCTCTCAATGCTTCCTTAATCAAAACAACGATTCATTCCACAAGTTAATTTCTTGTTGTTTCTTTAAAATTGTTAACTAGAGAACAGACGTAAGAACACACTACATCCGCAAGGTGACATACAGTAATTGGTCTAAAAGGGAATCCTTTGTCAATAAAAGTCAGAAGCCTTTACTCACGTTATAGGTCAAGGGCACAAGGCCTCCAAATGAGGGCACTGAAAGTTTAGGGAAAGCACACCTTTTCTCGCTTTTTCCTCTCCCCTTAAGTCACCTTCTAATAAGGAGAGAGTATTTGGCAATTTACAGTCCAAAATTCTGGGTGTGCCAAGAAGTACCGTTCACAAACATTTTAAATAACTTTCTGCATTGAAGCTCAATTACAGTTCAAATTATAAACACTGTGCATTGTGCAACACACACAGTACGTTTTGACAGGATAAAAATGGAAGTATCACAAGTGGTGTTTCATTGTCCAGGTCAGGTAAGTCTATCTTAGAGAGTGTCAGTGTAAACAGGAGTATACAGGCGGTTTTGAATTTTTGCTATTTAGCAACATATTAAAAAGTTCTTTCAGGGCTTTATAATAACCACTCTAAACACGCAACAGTGGCGATAAACATCCCCAGCTTCGGTCAAAAAACCATTTGTCCACAACGATTTAAAGACAGAAACGTAAAGATAAGTACAGAAGAGATTGCACAATAACACATGATCTTCCATATCACATGCTTGGCAGTACGCTCGATTCACTCCGATAACTCTGGTCAGACCCCAGGCGCAATTTTGGCCGTTACACGGCGGCCCTGTACATCTGCTTTTTGACACCCCACCCGGGCAAAGAGCCTCTTACTGGAGCCTACGGGCCCAACGTCAGGGCGAGCAAGCCTTTCCCCCGAGAGGACAGTTTCTCCCGCAAGCCCACAGCTTCCCCACGGCACGGCTGACACCCTGCCGAGAGCCCGCGCTGCGAGAGGACGCGGCCGGAGCCTCTCCCTCATTCAATCCATCCCGCCCGCGCTCCCCCCGCAGCCCCCAGCAGCGGCGGCAGCAGCAGCCGCCGGGGCAGCGGCACCGAGGCCGGGGCGGCGGAGGCGCCCGCCCGGCCTTCCGGGCTCCCCCACCTCGGGGGGCAGGACCCCGCCGGCTGCCGGCCCTTCCTCGCCGCCGCGGGTAGCCCCCCCGGCCCCGGCCCTCACCGCTACGGGCAGCCCCTCACAGCCTCCTCCCGCCGCCGCCGGTACTTACGCTCGAAGTCGGAGTCGGAGTCCTCGTCGCCGCGGTCGGGCTCCTCTTCGCCGTTGGACTCGGTCTGCATGGGCTCCCCGTCGAAGCTGACCACCCTGCGGCCGCCGCCGGCCGCCTCCTGGTCGCGGGCATCCCGCAGGCGGGCGAAGTAGTCGGCGGCGAAGCCCAGCAGGTCGGACGGCCGGTGCCGCAGCACCTCCACCGTGTAGCCCTGCAGCAGCTCGGTGAGGCCCGGCGGGATCTCGATGCTCATGGTGCCGGCGACCGAGGAGGAGGCCGCCGCC